ATTATAATTAATGACCGCTAAATAATGACTTCTTAATCAAAAATTTCTTTTTGAGTGCAGATAATGCATAAAATAATAATTATTCGAGAAAACGTTTTTAAAATTGTGCATGGTCTGTTTTGCATTACCATACAGAATACGGCAAAATTTTATCGTTAACTTAAACGGTTTATTCATTTCAAAATATCGTTTCAATTCAATTATGGAATGTAGAATCGGTTCTGTAAAGAGTTGAATTCTGTGTAAGATTTTGACTGGGTAGAGGAAAAGCACAGGAGTCGGCAGTTTTATCAATAAACCAATGTAAACATAACCTATGAGCTTCGCGAGCGTAGCGAAGCTCATAGGTTATGTTTCCTTTGATTTATTGATAAAACTGCCGACTCCTGTGAGGAAAAGTCATCGTTAGTTATAACAATGTATGTCACTATCAACCAAATATTATTTTAATCAGTAAACCATAATGCAAAAAGCTTACACGACTTGCAGACGTCAATGTAAACAACTTCACTATACGGAGTGTAGCGAATCCTGATCCCGATCAAAGAAAGCAGATAAACGGTTAGAGTTTTCATACTTTTCAATATATATTGGTATAATAAAACAACTGATTACCCCTTTTGAGGTCAACATGGTGAAATAAGGACCCTCACCTGGCCCACGAGGTGACCTGACCTGACTGAGGCCGCATTATTTCACCATGTTGACCTCAAAAGGGATAATTAATTGTATAATAATGATTTCAGTTTAATTCTTGTATTCATTTGCAGGTTTGGAATCTGTTTTTTTTTATTTACAGACTCTATAGCAGGCTTATACTATGAGTGGATTTCTCTTGTGAATTTATGATTTTTTTTTTGGTTTGAAATACTGTCTAAGCTAGTAGTATATAAATAGCTGACCACTATTAGATTTGGTTACTCTTTTAAAGAAACTAAAAGCAGGCGTCACATGCAATCCTTGGAACAGTCTACTTTATTGAATCAACAGATACTATCAACAGCCCACATTCCAAAATAAGAAGTTCATGGAAGTTCAGAGAAATTGTCGAACCTTCCAAACAAATAATGATTTCAATATGGATGCTGTCCAACATAGAAGGGTACAGGCAAATAAGTGACAGATTTAACGTCACTTTTTCTTCTGTGTACAGATGCATCATGCGGACTTCTACAGTTCTACAATGCCTGTCTGCAGAATAAATCACGTGACCTACTGGTTAGTACATATAATGTACACATGTGTGAGTGTAATAAAAGGTGCTCATTTATAAGCTTTCGTTTTCATTTTTTAAAAAGAGGGGGAGGGGGGGGGGGGAGGCAATGCCAAGCAAAAATTCCTTATAAAAAGTGGCATTATTATTTTTCGGGGCATAATGAAAAAGTAGCTTTTCTATATAAAACAATATATCTCAATCTAATTCTTTTGAGGGACACGTGCCATTCTTGTTTTAACGGCCATTCACAAAAAGTTCTACAATTTTTAACCAGTGCAAGACCCTTGTTTTTTGTCCCCCGCTTTCGCGAAAGCAAGGTGACATTAAATCTCATTCTTCTGTCCCTCCGTCAGTCTGGCTGTCCGTCCGTCACAAAAACCTCAACCTTGCCCATAACTTTTGCTTTAGTGGAGCTATGACTTCTATATTTCACATGTGTATTCCTTGTGACAAGACCTTTCTTTGGGCGTCACCGAATTTGACCTTTTGACCTTGGAGTTTGACCCACTTATACATAAATGTTATATTTTACTTCGGCCATAACTTTTGGACGCTAGCTACTAGGACTTTCATATTTCACACATGTATTCTTTGTCAACTATGACCTTTAGACTCTGACCTTTGAGATTTCCGTACCTATGTAAACAACTTTTGAACGGTATGGGAAAGGGCTTTATACTTCACATATTTAATTCTTGTGACAAGACCTTTCATTGGAAAACAAGAACTTTGACCCTCTGACCTTTACGTTGGAGTTTGACCTACTTTTTTAAAAACTTGAACCTTGGCCATAACTTTTGAACAGTAAGGGCTAGGGCTTTCACACTTCACACATTTAATCCTTGTGTCAAGACTTTTCATTGGATATCAAGAACTTTGACCTTGACCTTGCAGTTTGAGCTACTATTTAAAAACTATAACTTGGACCCTAGCTTTTTAACGGTAAAGGCTAGGGCTCTCATACCTCACATATGTAATCCTTGTGACAACATCGTTCATCGAAATCATAAACTGATGCACTAATTTATGTATCTTAGTGTAGTCTACTTGTTATATTGAAATCAGATCAAATTTGTTGGAGGAGTAGCATTTTAAAGGAATTTCTCAGAAAATTATATTTTTAGTTACCATGGCAACACCGTTCATCAAAATTAAAAACCGATGCACTATTTACCGTATCTTAGTGTAGTCTACTTGTGTGCCAAGTTATATTGAAATCAGACCAAAACTGTACGAGTAGCGTTTTGAAAAAAATGTTTACAGACAGACGGAGACAGACACCTTACTATCGCATAAGCTCTTTTGGTCTCTCACCATTAGAGCTAAAAACGGGCCAAAAAAAGCCAATTAGAACGGAACCGAAAAAAAGCTCAGCCTGTGGTTTCAAAGTCTGCGAGAACATGTTCCAAATGGAAAGAAAAACAAGAACATAAGCCAAGTGGACATTTTAAGAGCTGCGGTAGAATATATCCAACAGTTGCAAATCCTGCACCAGAACAGGAATACGACATCCACTCACTATACAGAGCCGCTTTCTCCAGCGCCGAGAATGTCTTCCCATGAAGAGGAACTTCCAAACCTCACTCCCGGGTTTTATTTCAGTTCATAACTTTCAGACCTTGGTCCCTCGGCGCTGTTTTAACATTTTAAAAAAATAAAACGGCCACCCACCTCTTTAGTAAAAATGCTTTTTTATACTGTCAAAAAAAAAAAAAAAAAAATTAAAGAAAAAAACACCTGTATCAAGTCAACATGGTCACTGTTTTTTTTTAATTCTGAGGGAACCCTGTTCTTTTCTTTTTTTTTAATTTAAGGCCTATAAAATGTCGTTTTTTTTCCTTTTCGATCTTTTTTATCAAGCTGGTCTTTTTTTAAAATTTGCATTTTTGATTTTTTTTAAATTATTAGCTGTATACCAGTCTCAAGGAAATTTTAAAGAAGGTTTGTTTAACAAAATAAATCAATACCTCATGTTTGTTAGGATGGTTGACGTCATCTTGGATTTTTTTAAGACGCTGAGTCTATGATTTTATTTAATTAAACATACAAAAAAAAATCTAAGAATGGTTCATGCCCCGAAAACTAAAGACGAATTGCTTTTTAAACACATTATATTCTACTTTAAAAAATTTCACTTTCGAAAACAAGTGGATTCTAACAAAAACGCAGTACAGTTAAGGCAACATTTTCTATAAAAACTCACGGAATCCGAAACATTTTATGCTTCACAGTTTTATTTTTTTAGCAAGACACTCTAGTTAAAATAGCTATTTGTTATCTTGAAGAGTATGTCCATCGCTTTTCACATCGGTATTTTTTGACATCATGTGACCCCCTGAAGTCACGTAGGTCAAAAAATGAGATGTCAAATTTAACCAAAAAGTGCAAGGGCAAGGCAAACAAAACATTAACTGCAAAATATTTTATGTTGTCCCTATGTATCTATTATTTATCAAAAGTGATGCTCATTCAGTTAGTTTTCCGATATAATTAAGTTATTCAGCTAAAACAGACAGAATTGTTTGAAAAATAGGATATTTTCCTAATTTCATCGTGAATTATAAATTAACTAAAGGATTACAAAGAAATGAGCATCACTTTTTGAAAACTATACAATAAAATAAATAATTTAAAATAAAAACCTACTTTTAAAATTGTCGCCTTGCCCTTGCACTTTTTGATTAAAAATTGAAATCTTGGAAGAGTCAATCTAATTATAGTTTTCAAACGCATAGTTGATCCAGCATGGGAGATAACTCTTGAGTAATTAATATAGTTTGTTTACCTCGTAAATTTTAATAAATATACATGCGGACAGGGCTGGACTCTTTTTTTCTTACTGAATCAAAAGGGTATGCATTAACTCCTTGACATTTCTATCTATTTTGTGGATTCGTTCTCGATACATTGTACACATTTACTGTATGGTAAAAGACGTCTTTCAAACCTCCCGCATTTCCTCAAAGACGTGTATACATGACATGTAGTATTACACACACATAGGTCTAAATATTGCCGCTATATATATTCATGTAGAAAACAAATGGTTAATTAAAATATAGCCTCCTCCATTAATAATAAATTAATTAGATACGTATCTATACCTCTCTCTCACTACTGTACGCATAGGCGTCGGAACCGGGGGGGGGGGGGGGGGGCTTAGCCTACCTACTTATTTGCAAATCATATACATAATGTAGGCATTGGAATTTACCTTTATCTGTTGGTTTAGCCCCCTTTAATTTTGCTTCCAACGCCTATGGTACGCACACTTGTTTTAATAATTTTTCTTTTCTTTCTGCATACGAGATCATGAGGGGGAGGGGCTGGCAGATTTTAGAAATAAATACTTGCAGATCAGTGATCTCGCCCTCCCACGAATCAGAGTTTTTAATTTTTTTTTTTTTTTTTTTTTGCTTGTAAGACTTTTCAATGAAGAGGGAAATAAATAAATAATCTGCCCTTCATCTTATTGATCGGAAATAAATATTAATCTGTCCTTCATTGACATGAGAATGAAAAAAAATCTGACTTAGAAAAACTTGCCACTCCCCTTCCCTCAGAATCAATGGTGGTCCCCTATCCTATTTTGAATCAATTAGGGGGGTCTCTTGTCTCCTGTTTTTGGTAATATTATTGAAAAATAAATGAACACAATGTACATGCTGGAAATAAGATCTTCATGGACATCAGTACCCTGAACACAAAAAATGTATGCAAGTTAATATTTTCACATCTTAATAGCTTTTCAACACCTGTACAGTAAATAAATGAAAAAGTCAAATTATTATTTATCTAGAAAATTTATTTAATAAACATTTCTTTACAAATCCAATGACAGACTGTAGGAATGCTGGGCAGGTGCAAATTATTTCAATCACCTCATGTTCTTGTGGATAAAATGAATTCTGAAAATATGAGAAAATCAGAAAATACCATTATTGAAAGTAATTTCTGTTCAAAAAGTGAAATTTAAAAAAATGCATTAAAACATTTAAAATAGAATGCATATACATGTTTTCAATTCTTCTGTTAGTTTTTAATTATTATCAAAACAATTCAATAATCTTGCCAGGAATATTGTATGGTTTATAGCTAATATTGAGCATACCAGTTTCCTTGAATGATGTAGTAACTTGCTGCCTGAATGAATCCATTAGTCTAACATTTGGGAATAGCTATGCCTACAAGCTACATTGTATACTGTAGTGAATTTATGTTATTCATATAAATGGCAAAAAAATGTGTTACAAAACTTCTCTGGGAAAGTGAAACCTCTGACATTTACAACAGTTATTAATAGAATATTTTCTGAACAAAATTCTGAGTTTCACCATTACCAAAATGAAAAAAAAAAATTATATAGCACATGCATACTTTAAAAATGTGAAATGCTTTTAATTAGAAATATACATACCCTGTGGAGAAATGATACATTTTTTATTTATTCATTCTTCATGTTCTTTAGGCCTGAAACTCTGGACAGCTACAATGATAAAAGTATTATACAAATATTTTTAATGTACATGTAATCTAAACAAATTATGAATATTTTTTTCCATTAATTTAAAAATTCTAGAAAATTACAACCAGTTGAGGTTCTTTGTTTTCATCATAATGACACCGATAATTTTTTTGAATTGTGTAGCATGTTAGTATGTCAAAAGACATGATCATTGCTTGTTTAGGCCTAGTCACTAGTGGATCATTGACTGAAACAATGAAAACATCTCATTTAATTTAGTTTAAATTTGCGTTATTGGTGACCTCCATTACTACACATATTGTCTCAAAGAAAATGAGCTAATTGACAAGAACTCAGTACATATTAAGTGCAGTTAAATTTTAATAATTCTAAAAAGTCATTTTTAGATGTAAACAACATTCCGTGTCACCGAATGTAAGCTCTTGGCTGAAGCCGAATGCAGACAAACGACACATTAAAAAGAGAATTATTTTAAAGACATGCTATTTTATATACGATAAAATCACTAATTATTTTCCATTTAAACATGAAAATATTGCTGTTTATTACAAAGTCTTGCAAATATCGGTAGAGAGTTATTTTGAGCACTATTTCCTTATACGGATCAATTAGGGCGGAGCAACTGTCATGACGTCAGACCTCATTACCATAATCTTTTCATGTGTTGCCTTAACTGTACTGCGAAGGAGCTTACACTATGGTTTTCTGAAGAAAAAAAAAGATTGATTGATTGATTGTACACTGTTTAAAGTCCCTCTCCAGAATATTTCACTGATATGGAGACGTCGCCATTGCCGGTGAAGGGCTGTAAATTTAGGCCTATGCTCGGCACTTATGGCCTTTGAGCAGGGAGGGATCTTTATCGTGCCACACCTGCTGTGACACGGGGCCTCGGTTTATACGGTCTCATCCGAAGGACCGCCCCATTTAGTCGCCTTTTACGACAAGCAAGAGGGTACTGAGGACCTATTCTAACCCGGATCCCCACGGGGCCTGAAAAAAAAAAAACAAAAACCGGTGACCTTTGAACTCGGGTTGTGTTTATCCCTAAACCCATTTTCACTTGATTTATACTTTAGTTCCGATTATCCTGAAATAAAAACTATATGGGCCCTTTTACCTAGGTTTCATCTTACTAACTATCACCCCTTTTCCTGGTCTCACCCTCTAAATCAATTAAAAAGACCTATTTTATAAACTCAAGTCACTGGATTTCGCCTCCTCGCTTCGACATTTTTCACTGTTTTTCTCTACTAAGAATTCATGTCATATGTCCATTTTAGTATGAAAAAAGGCAACACACTTACCGTCTTTAAACCCGTATCATCATACATTCCTAGGACGAATACATAATAAATAATCCATGAGAATGTATAGGTCCCAAAGCACAAAACAAACACAAATGGGGTTCGCCATGGTTTTTTTTGGCATCGGCTTCAGAAGTGCCCTCTTGTCGGTCTGTCATGTGTGCATAAATACAGACGCTCACCAGAGCTCAGCGTCATTCTGCTAGCATCGGATCTCCGTGGCATTCAAGATGACTGATGGTATCTTCTACGAAGATCTGTTCTTCATACCCGGCATCCAGGTCGAAACTTATTATCGGCCGCAGCAGCGGCCGATCTATTTGTGATTGTGTTAGAAAGTGCACATGGGGAAATGAGACGTTATTTTTATATTACTTCAATAAAATAATTCATAAATGATAACAAGTAAAAATCATGATTAAAATATTTAAAAAACTTGCTTAAACTTAGTATTAAATGTTGTTATTACATTTAAGTTTCATTATCATTTATCATCAGATCATCGATAATTTATGGTAAATATAAAAAGAGTTTACATTAGCTACTCCCCAGCCTGGGAGTGTGTAAGATATGAAAAGAAATCAAGATTTTCCGGGTAATAATGATGTGGTTCGAGTGCATAGTGAATGAAAAATTGAGGAGTTTTTCAACTACTAATAAAAATGCATCTGGTCTACATCTACAAAGGACATATTTTTTTTTACATTTTGCACCGCGGCCTGCAGAAACCATGGGCATTATTACGTGACCAATACCCAGGGTATCAGCACGTGCTTCATCTTGACAAGCCTACATCTTTGTTTTGATGACAATAAATTCTTATAATTCATCAATGAACATAATTTTTTTACATCGATAAATCTATTTTTTAGCTAATGTGGTAATGTCTATTTATTTAATTCTTTAAAAATTTTTATTGTGCTTTGAAGACTGCATGCCTGAAATAAAAATGATTCAACTATCAGTATTTTACCTTTGAATATCTTGACGTGCTTTCCTTGATTGTGAAAGAATTTTTTTAAATGCTTAATTTTGTTTGCGGCCTATTTGATGCTTTGCATCAATTTAACTTGATTAGTGCTAATCCGAACTGATACAGGGGGAGAGATTGCAAGGATTAGTATGACGCGAATACAGATGAACAACAATACGAGGAGCAGAAGCCATGGCCGCTCCAGCAGATCAAGGCCTTACAACCGACCTCAATCTCGCTCGCCACAACCCCCACCTCCTTCGGCGCCAGCATCACACCCACCACCTAGACCTGCCAGCCAACTCCCCAGAGTCAGGCGAGGTTCCAGGGTTGTGTTCCTCCCTGGGGAGTACGGGTAAGGGTGGAGAATATTTATTGTACCCTCTGTTTGACCGAGGACGAAGAGAATAACTTCTTGTGCGGCCGGTGCCTGCAGAGGGTGGTGTGTTACCTGTGTGCCGCCTGGCTTATTGACCGTGAACAGCCCTGCCCCCTCTGCAGGAATAGCGAGCCAGCCAGAGGCCCGGCGAGTCAACATATTGGTACCCTGGTGGAGCGCCTTCTAAGGGAGTTCAAAATATCAATCCAACGGCCCTTTTAAGAACCAACCAACTCTTTAGAAATGCCTTCTATACAGGGGTAAAGAGAAACGTTTGTGTCTAAGAAAAGATTGTCATTTTAATACAGTGGTAAAGAAAAACGTTTGTGTGTCCAGAAAAGACAATCTTTTAATACAGTGGTACAGAGAAACGTTTGTGTGTCAAAGAAAAGATTATCCTTTTAATACAGTGATATAGAGAAACGTTTGTGTCTAAGAAACTTTTTAATACAGAGGTAGAGAAAATCGTTTGTGTGTCCAGAAAAGATTATCTTTCTTAATACAGGTAGAGAAAAAAAGAAACGCGTGTGTGTATGTGTGTGTGTCAAGTCAAAAAAAAAAACAAAAAAAAAACCAAAAAAAACATCAGCTTATTTTTCTTTTTTAATATATTTTTTTAATTCAGGGTCTAAGACAAAATGGCCTAGATAAAACATACGGAGAATAGGAACAGAATTCAAGATCAAAAGTCCATGAAAGAAAAAGTGAGCCAGATTACATACCCCACGCTTCCCCGACACTCAAGTTCTTAAAATCCCGAAAAAATTAAGGAATCAGAATTTCCCGGTAATACGCACATCGACACATTGTTTCCTAAATATCTGCGAAATTTGACGAAATTCTGTGCAGTGGTTTAAGAGGAGTTGCGCTGACAAACTGTTCATCTCTAAATTCAAGGTATGGACAAAAATCTAAGTGTAAAAGTGTGGAAATTCCCGGAAAAATTAAAGGAATCAGAATTTCCTGGTAATATGCACATCTACACATTGTGTCCTAAATAACTGCTAAGTTTGCCGAAATTCTGCGCAGCGGTTTAACAGGAGCTGCGCTGACAAACTGTTCATTTCTATATTCAAGATATGGCCAAAAGCCCAAGTTAAAAAGTGCGGAAATTCCCGGAAAAAATAAAGGAATAAGAATTTCCTGGTCATATGCATATCTACACATTGTGTCCTAAATATCTGCAAAGTTTGACGAAATTCTGTGCAGCGGTTTATGAAGAGTTGAGCTGACAGTAGTATAAACCGCCTAGACGGGGGGTCCAACTGAGTGCACTTTTGGGGCGGGGGGGATGGGGGTTCAACTGAGTGCAGTCCCCCTGGGGGATAGCCGGGTCAAGGGAGTGCAGATTAGGGGGGTCTAGGGGATAGCCGGTAGGGCTGAAACGATACGCCCCCTCCACGATACGATACGTATTGCAATACTTGTGTCACAATTCAATTTTTTCAATACGATACAATTTAAGAACAAAACTATTCAAAAGGTTAAAGAAAACGTATTCAGATTTAAAAAAACAAAGAGTAAAAGGTGGTGATACAATAGAAATATACATGTACTACCAGGGGTATGCAATCTAAAAATTCAAGTACTAGCCCACAGGCTAGTGGCAGCAATAAAGTTACTAGCCCCAAGTAAAAAGTTATTAGCTCAAATATAGCCTTATATAGGGACAAAAATTAAAATAAAACAAATGTTGAAAAAAAATTAATCATTGAAAAAGTCAGGGTACTAAGGTCAACCTTTTGAAAATTAAAATTTTATTCTCACTATTAAAATTAAATCATATAAAATTAATGATTATGACAGAAAATAAAAATGAATTTAAGAAAAAATATCTGAAGATCTTTCCTTTTCTGATTATTTTGCACTCATTTAGAATGAAAATTAATTCATTTTGTTTTCATATTAAATCCTTAAATACACTAGAAATATATTTCATGTGAATCACACTGATCTTTCAGTTGATTGAGTGATCGTAAATAATTTTAATGAGATATCTGCATATATTTACAATAAACGGAGGAAATTCGGATTAGGAAAA